TTTAACAAAAAAACGAAGTCCAGATGACATGATTCAACCTTTTTTGTTGTTATATACCTGGATGACTGAGAAAACAAACTTTGTGTTTTTGAAACCATTAGTGAAAAGGCCAGACTTCAGGGGTATCTGAGGCAGGCTTGAAACACAAGAGTCAGGGTGGCTTCTGGGTAATACCAGATGGCTAGGCCTCAGACTGACGAAGCCTCTTGGATGAGGGGCGAAACGTTTCTTTTTAACAAAAAAAACGAAGTCCAGATGACATGATTCAACCTTTTTTGTTGTTTGTTGGAACGTGTTTTTGCATTACGGGTCTTCTAAGCTGGTCTCTAGATGAACGATCAGGTTTGTTCCTTTGAAGAGTTGCATCATGGAGTTTGGTAGAGCATCAAAAACGACAGCATGCTCTTTAGGTGTTACAGGTGTGTTAAGTCTAGTCAGAAATTCAGTGCATGACAAAATGGTTCCGTTATCATTTAACAGCTGTTGGACCAGCATCATTCCATTATCCATCTAGTTTTTAAAGTGACTTATTCTTATACAGAATATTCCCACTGTTCCATGTGTAGCACGTAGTTGGAGAGAAGTTGTGTTTGTAGGCAAGTTTCCAAGCCAGGAGAGCCTGTTGATGAAATTTTGACAACTTTATAGGTAACTTTTCAATTTTATAGTCACATTTTAATAAGAATTGGAGTCCACCTACCGGATTAAAAATGTGGTTGGGGAAAGTGTTCCAAAGTGTATTATTCCTTTTTAATAAGTTGGTTCACCATTTAATTTTAAAGGAGTTATTTAGCATTTCAAAAGTTAGGACATCTAATCCACCAGATGTTTTGTTATTAGAATAACTTTTTTTTCAGTAATGACATTTTTGTTTCCATATAAAGTCAAATAATGTTTTATCTAACTTTTTGCAAACATCCTTTGGCATTTCTAAAGATAAGGAAGTATATACAGATCTTGAGATTCCCTCAGCTGTTGACAGTAACACCCTTCCATTTAATGACAGCTCTCTCATTAGCCACATGTTAAATTTGTTTATTTGTTCTATAATGGGACCAAAGTTTGAACTGCTACACAAATTTAGATTTTTCTCAATAACCACTCCTAAGTATGTAAATTTCTCTATAACAGGAATACCGTTAATTTCTGTCAGTGTACAGTCTTTTAGTGGGAAAAGAACAGATTTATTAAGGTTAATTTGTAGGCCTGACACTGACAAGAATTCTTGGATACAATCAGTTGCTTTACTCACTTCATGTACATTAGAGATAAATACTGCGGTATCATTACTCACTTCATGTACATTAGAGATAAATACAGC